TTTGTGTCATGCCAGTTTTGTAAATTTGTTTCTCCCATCATTCTGTGAATCAGAGGGACAAATATTTTGATAAAATCTATGAAAAGAACACTGTTTCCCCAGATGAATATTCACAAATAAATACATTAACCTGCTGATATACAAATATACATAAGTATGAATTCAACTTTAAGATAAAGATAGTTTGGCAACACAAAGTAATATAACTTATGTAATGATCTGGATGCAATTTCACAGCCATCCTTCACCAAGGAATGGAAAGCACTGAAAGTGGTGTTGGCAAGGAAAGAAAAAATGTTTTATACAGAGCTAAAATAGAAAACTTTCATCTCACCACCATCCAGATGGAGCACAGAGAAAACTAGTCATTCTGCAACTTCTGTTGTTATTTTAAGAGATTAGTAATTATCCCTGTCTACAAGTTTATGTAGCATCTTTCCAGGACAGGTCATCCAAGAGACAGAAGTGATGCAGTACACATAACTGACATTATTAGTAGTACCTGTAGTGGAAGAGCCTTTCTCATGATTATTCCCTCTGGAAGGAATAGTTCTATCCATTATAGCAGGCCGTGTTGCATATTCCTCTCCGTTGTCCCAACCTGGATATATCCATGGGTCTTGCATGGAGTCATTCTGTTTGGCCCCATGGGTGGAGACCATAGCTGTTATGATGATGGTGAAGTAATTATGAACTCAGTATATAAAGATCCATTTCTCATATTAATCTCCTCTTTGGTTCTTGTCTCTATGACAGGCCTTGCTCACATGTCTACTACATTTAATGGCAAAGAGGAGTAAAGTAGATTTGCTTCTCATCCTGGTTTATGTTTAGAAAAGCTGTCTACTCTCATCAGTAGGACCAACTCCTTCCTCAAACCAAACATATGCTTTTCAGAATCAAGGTATCTTATTGTTTTTCAAAAGTATTTCTCTGAATCTTGCTGTTGACTTTGTTTTGGTTGAATATCAAACCAATACCCACTGATTCAGAACTAAGAACCTCAAAGGCAGAAACAAATGCAAGGATATGACCCATCAGTAAGATTTTAATCACAGAATTTGAGTGCATTGACTGGATCCAATTTTTCCCCCTCGAAATTTCCCTGTTTTATTAGTTGCAGCATCTCCAAGAAAACAGACGAGGAAGTGTGACAGAGGGGAATGCTAGCACATGCTACAGATTTGTGAACAGTGCACACCCTAGATAAGACAGCATTCAACTGGAGAACATTTGATATTGCAGTTATTTAGAAAAAACTTATCCATATCAATCAATCTGTAGTTTTTATTAGACAGTCATAGCAAAAGAGTACCTGAATCTTATAGGAAGCATAACCCTCCTCAGCCCCTTCAATACAATAAGAAATTTACCATAGTGTGTTACAATTTCAATTGCAACTAGGCCATTACATATTGCTATAGTAGCGCAGTATAATGTAGCATAGTGTAGTATAGTGCAGTGTAGTCTGGTAAAGTATGGCACAGTACGGTGTTTACATATATATCTCTATCTCATATTGCATTGTACTGCATCACCAGATTTTTTTAAGGATGGTGATGACATATCTGGGCTTGATATCTTAGAGGAATGTGGACTTAGGCACTACTGAAACAGTGAGCTACACAAAGCTTTTGGTATTAAGATTAAATTTAGTTGAATGAATAGAAACAGCATCTAAATTATGTTTGCGATATACTTCTCTTCAGAGATCTGTATTTAATAATTTGCAAGAGTAGATAACTGTTGGCAGCACATCTGTCATTAACTAGTAAGCTTGGTACACTCACAGCAACAGAAACTAATATATGCCAATTTTCAGTTACTAGCTTTAAGATACAATTTGATCTTTTATGTTTCAATTGATTCAACGAATGGAAGAGAGAAGCCTCTTTCTTATTCTACGTTGTGCTTTGTTTTCTTCCCTTCATCACCAGTATCACACTGTCATAGTTCAAAAGTAAGGTGAGTAGATATTTTAGATAATTTTTTTAGATATAATTGCCATATTAACAAAAACTAAAAAAAGAAATCCTTGCAACAGGGGAGTGAACACAGGTCCTAGTGAATGAAATATACAACAGACATTATAAAATCTTCTCTGTTTCCTACAGATAAAACCCTGGTAGACAGCTTGTTAAAAGCTTGTGACTGCATGAGACACAACACAAAATGTAGGAGACAGTTATGGAAGGTTACAATACTAAAGGTCTTGACCTGCAAGTCAAATAGAAGAGAAAAAACCACCCAGGGACAGGTCTGAAGAATAATTAAAAATTAAAACTATTTTTTAATAATTAAAAATAACATAACATCAGAATTGTTAAGGGGTATTCACAGAATCTGTCCTATGGCCTCAGAATGTAAAAATATTAGTAAAAAAAAAATCCTAAAATTAACCCTTTAGAAAGACTTGATAATTTACTAAAATGTGACCTGTAATATTACCTGTATGAGAAGATTCCTTTTCAAAATAACTTTCACCCGCAATAGTAAATTCATGTTGTTCAATACTCGCTGTGGTATTTGCAGGATTTTGTTCTTGACTGATCCCTCCAGAATGAATGCTGTATGGTAGTGGATGTTGGGTTGGTCCTTGATGTTTTTCATTTTCACTTGTAACTAGTGCTGATAAGATGATGATTGAATCAATAATGATCAAAATACCCATCCTCAGTCATATTATTCTCATATCATGGTTTAATAACAAAGGTGCCTGGCTTTTGTGTTTTGGTTTTTTTTTGTTGTTGCGTTTGATGTGAAATGAAAGATGAAAGAAAAAGAAGTCCTTTGGAAACCCTATGACACAAAACCATCACCAGGATCAGAAGAAGATTTAAGTGGGCTAGAAAGGATCCCAATGACCAGTGGAAGAGAAAAGATATTGGAGAAGCAGCAGAAGAGCACATAGAAACAACAGCTTACACCTCTATTTCATATTCATTAATACTAACTTAACTGTTGAGTCTGTGTATTCTGGGTTTTTACAGTGAAAAAGTGGATGAACTTTCTCTTTTGAGTTAATATCTCAATTACACAATTACAAAGCTGGCTCCAAGGAAATTGTAATTTCTTCTGAGACTGGAAAGATGAAATAAGTAGGTTCATATATTCGAAGTTGATAAGCATACTTATTTTGAACTCCATAATAATTAAAGCTCTTACTCTTTAATTTACTCTTGCTTACACAGCACAAGATGCAGTCAGAAAGAAGCTGAAGTACCACCACCATAAGAGGTTTTCTATTGAGTATCAACAGGTTTGGAAAAGAAACATCAGAAAAACCTAAGATGAGCACTGGAACTCAGGTAGAAATATATTTGCCTTAGGTATCAAAAATTTCCATGAGTGATATATTAAAAGTAAAGCAAAGGTCCTTAATCAGAGCATGCAAAGAATGAGCTGGACTTGTTATATATGCTAAGAAACCAGCTAGAGAAACCTATGCTACTTCCCAAATGGGAAAAACTGGAGAAATATTTATTTTCACATTCAGGCAATGAAATATTCATATAGAGAGCACTCATGAAAATGTAATCCATTCTTTTTAAATTAAACCTAATACATCTTATAAAACAAGACTTAATATTAACTAATGTATGAATACAACTGATCTAAAAATAGACCACAAATAAAAGAAAGTTACCACAAAATTTTTTTCTGGGTGATTACAGATCTTGTTCTAATGACAATTGTATAAACCTTCACTGTTCAAAACAAGCTCAGGACCAGAAAGGCAGAGCAAAAATAGCTTGAGAATGCGTTCTGTAAGCCTTTGCCTACAGAAGCTTCTAGCCTTGAATGCTTTGGTATCTCAGCAGGCTACTGACACTAGCACTGGCAGCAAAATGTTCACATTCATCTGGAGGATGATTTTTGTAGGAAAATTTCATTATTTTGAAACACTAGCTCCCTTTTTTGTCTTTTGTCTTCAGATTTTGCGACTGAAAATTTTGAAATGGAAAAAGCGATTTTTTTTTTCTCACCGAGGTTGGTCACCAGAAGTTATAGTCTGCTCAGTTCTATTTTGCTACTGGTAGTGCAAATATAAAAATACCAGAAATGTGAGGAAAAGTGGCAATTAACTAACTTTAGATGCAAAAAATAGACTTGGGACGACAGATAGATGCCACCTCTTAGGGTTCTAGTACAAATAATGTAAAGGCATTACACTGAACTGAGGCTAATTGTATGGGAATTATGAACAGCTGCACCATGACTGTTACATTTATGTCACAAATCTGAATATTATCTGAAATGCTTGATTCCTTTACCCCTGCTAGGAGAGCTAGGATACTGCTCCTCTTCATCTATGAGGGTGGGATTCCAATGATCTTGTGTGGAGATTTCCAGAAGCGTTTCGTGTTGTGAGTCCACAGCCGTTGGGACAATGGAGGATAGAACGCTGACTATGCTCTAAGTCTACCACTGTTCATGTGTGCCATAAAGGTGATGGAAAATGGAAATTCATGTGGAAATTCATGTGTATCCTAACTACAGCCTCTCCACTCTTTTTATCAAATCCCTTTACATCAAACCAGTTCTTCTTTTCTTTGCATTGGATAGACGCAAATTTTCCCAAGAAGAATGGGGAAAACAAGCAATAGAAGAATAATGTATAGCAGAAATAACGTAAAACCATTACAGCAGTTATAGACATTTAAACTCATGTTTGAAGAATAATGCTGGACCTAAGGAACATGGTAGATATCTCAATACATGCTTGCTAAGTACCCAAGAAGTACTCAAAAAGTACCATGCTAGAATACCCAGCACTGAGCTCAAAAGTGATGAACGGTAAAAAACTGAGAGCGCCTTGACAACCAGCAGGTCACCAATATTACTGAAGAAAGTTATAATACAATTAAAAAGATAAAATAAAACTTCCACAAGAGTCTATGATCAGAGACTGTATACACTTTCACCCATGCAGCATGCAGACTACGCTAGGCCATAGAAATTATTTGGAATGCAATACAAATACACCAGTGGGATAAGTCACCAATGCAGAGTCTCAAAGATAAATAAATTAACAGCAGAAATACCCAAAATATAGGCAAAAGAATAAAATGCCCCAAAGCAAGATGATTTGATGATTTTGTAATTTCTTCTAAAAGCAAAGACCACTGCTGAAAAAATGCAAATACTGAACTATCTCCAGAAAAATCAAATGCTTATAAACAGTGATTTATAAACACTGTTGAGTAAATAAGAGCACAAACAACAGATACATTAAGATGTACTTAAATTAAATAAAATGACAGAAATAGAACAGACTGTTATCTTTGTACAAATAAGAGCATTAGAGTATAGTCATCAATGGCAACTTCTATACTAAACCTGCCCCCGCCCAGGCTGGGGCCATTCCCTGGTCTTAAAGTCAAGTACCAGAGTGTGTGCTTCAGTGGTACACAGCATTTGGTTTTGATCTTCACATGTGGTGGTTTTCTGGTTTTCAGAAAAAAATTATTTCAGTTATGGATGGCTTTTGAATTTAGAAAGAGTTATCAGATGATGACTGTGGGACTATTCCTATCAGGAAAATAAAGCTATGTATTAAAATACCTCAATTATCATGTTGGATCATGCCTAGACATCTGAGGTGACAAAATAAATGAGGTGATGTTAGAAGACTGCATGGGAAGAGTGTAGAAGGGAGCAAATATGAGACCATTTTGTTGACAATTCCCAATTAAAAAGGCACTTAGGCTTTGGCCTCCTCAAATTATGCCTGAACATCTCCTTCCACAGATAGGAAGTCTGGTATTAAATAGTTGTAGATTATATATAGCATGAACTAGAATTATTTTAACACTTCAAAAAAATTCATAGAAAGAAAGATAAGTTTTCTTTCTTCTTGGAAAATCATGAGTGAATGAAAACATTTGAATAGGCATGAAAATGAGGTGGTAATTTTAAGTAGTGATAGAAGATATGTTACTTTTATCAATATGGAGCTCAGATAATTTTTCCAATCACGAAAGAGATATTTCTGAAGGAACAGATGATGAGTAGATCATCCAATTTTCACATAATATGTGTGTGGCAAAGGAGGAGGAACATCAAGTGTGAAAGGAAAAAGAAGAAGGAAACCATCCAAAGAGAAAGCAAGTTCCTTACTCGTACTTGGAGAACTCTTGTCCTTGGCCACACTCCTGCCCCAGCTGGGAAACAGTGTTGGGTACATCGCTTCCTCTGAAGAGTCTTCATCGTCTGAACCATTGCCACTGGAGGTCACATCTGCTGTGATGATGTTAAATCTGCCATGAAGCCCTAAATCACAGGGCCTTCTGCTGGCAGCATTAAGGTTTTCTTGCCTCCCCTACATGCAACCTTACAATTACAGAGGAGAATATACAGAAATGTGCTTCCCATGGTCCATATCTCCTCCTGGCCTTTTCACTCAGAAGGGACGCACCACTTTGCCATGGCCCTGCTGAAGCTCCCCAGTGTGGTACCCTTTGCACACTCACAGCATTAACCATACTCTGTCCTCTTCAGCCCCTAATCAAAATGCCCTTTTAGCATGACATTCTTTACCCTTGGTCGCCTGTGTGGCTTCTTGCGTCTTCTCTCCAGGATTTGACCACCACCAGTGGTCTGGAAACGGATTCCACCAAGCTTGGGTGGTGGTTTTCTCTAGGTCATCATGACGAGACCCTGGAGCTGTTAAGACATGGCCCATTTAACCAAGATCTTGTTATTATTTCTTGAGAAGCACTTTTCCTCCAGGAAAGTCAAGTCCACTAGCACCAGCACCCTGAGTACCCTCATGCCACAGAGACGGATGTGAGTGCAAGGCGAATGTATGAATCCATGGTATCATTACATTCCTCAAACACATCGCTCGATGCAAGCGCTTCTGGCAGTCCCAGGAAAGAACACAGTGCCTTGAGAGGAGACATCAAAAAGCCCTGTGGGTCTTCTCTAGCCCTTCACATGCTTAAGTTAACGAGTTCCTCACAGGCTTTGACAGGGGGAGAGAGTAGATAGCCTTAGGCTCCAGAATGAGAAACATCCACCAAGACGACATAAAATCACATACAAAAGGTGAAAGAAGTAGTCATATCAGGCAAAAAGGTGACCCACAGATAAGCACATCCAGAGAAGCAAACTACTCTGCTACTGAGAACCCCAAGAAGCCAATGCTGTCAGAGACCTGGGCTCAGAACTGCCGCTATTGAGTCCACTCAAAGGACACATGCACTCCCCTTAGCCTGATGCTGTCAGCTAAATCCACACCAGAAACGCTTTTCAGAGTAGACATCAGCATAGCATGA